TMTMWRCATGCCCCTATCTGCAGTGCCTATTCATCAGAGGATTACTTCACAAGTAATTAGTTTCTTCACCTTTACGTGAGTTTCCCATATATATGGCCAAAAACTTGCGACATTCTAGTTACAACATGCAAAATAGTTGTCAATTCTAATCACACTCATTACAAAATACATTTGGCTGAGTTGAGTGTGGAATCTTGCATTTGCAGCTGCTAATGTTCAAGCAGTTTTCCTTATTTGCACTACTCAGGCCAATCACAATGGAGGATACAGCAGGTTATCTGTGTTAATTTGTACAATCAAATAGTAGCTGAATACCGCCAATTTTCTACATTAAATAATCACAGGTATTTGTTAAGTTACAGGTAGTTTACATGCTGGGATCTCACCAGGTTTTTCTACTGAAAAAGGTGAAGACAAGATGCCAGTTCATCCAAGAGGAGAAACATCCCAGCATGACACTGAGTGTCCTATTGCAACTACAAGACACTGCTATGGAAATGTTGGTATGTAATTTAGTTTTTTGGTAAGAGTCTAAGAGCTCTATGTGAGAAATAAAACACATGTTTTCAGCTTGACAGCATTTTCCCACCTGCCAAGTTGACACCTCCCTGAAAACCTCTTCCCTACTCCCAGTAGTTTTTATATGTAATTAAAACTTCAGGCTATCTAAACAAAGACATTAAACACTGTTTCTTTCCCCCTTGATCTCTGTTATTGACAGAAGAAGCAAAATAATCCCATCTCTTAATTGCTACCACAATCCACCTAAAAGGACAAGAATGAAGGGGATTTTTTTTAAATGCTCATATTTACACCTAGAGTTTGGCATAGCTTAGAGATCTTCCTGATAGTACTTAAAGAAAAGTCATCATGAAATGAAGTCAAGCCTACAGAGCAAAATTTCAATCTCTGTAAATTGCTGTAAGTCCAAAGAACTCACAAGACATTTTAAAAACTAAGTTAGCTATATGGTCTCCAGTTGGGATCATAGATCAGTCAGAAGCAACATATTTGACTTTTTTTTTAAAAAAATACAATAAAAATATGTTTTTTTGTAGACAGCAAGAAAAGTCAAGTGAAAGCATATTTATGACAGAACCATACCTAGAGTAACGACTGCATGAAACCTGTACAAAGTAAGGATAACGTTTGTACAACCTTCTGCAAGTTTCAAAATAAGGGGTTTTTTTGCTTTAAAATAAAAAATTCAGAGTATGCCTTATTCTGTAAAATGTCCACTATTACTACTAGATGGTATTACTACAAATGCTAAGAAAGGTTTATAAAAAGTAATGTAATAATTAAGGAATAATCCATTATTTTTTTAGATCTACAGACCCAGGGAAAAGATTTTTAAAAAGCCAAAACTTAAGAGATAAAATGYATCAYAACTCAAGTAGAAAYACTAATAWGCYACCWTMYT